ATATATATATATATATATATATATATATATATATTATATGTATATATGTATATGTATATATTATGTTATATTTGAACTTTTTGAGTGGTGAAGTGACTAAAGTATCAGCTAAATGTGAATTACTAACAGGACTGTTTGAAGAAGTGAAACAATTGAAAGAACTGATGACTAATAAAGACAGAAAAATAGCTGAACTGGAACAGAAAGTTGACGACTTGGAACAATACACAAAAATAGACAACTTGGTGATCACTGGACTGGAAGTTAGGAACTGAACTTATGCAAGAGTTGTTGCTGGTACTAACACAACAGAAGATGCACCACAGGAAGAACTACAGACTCTGGAGGAGCAAGTAGTGAATTTTTTACAAAACAAAGACATTGACATCGAACCTGAGGACATTTCAATCTGTCACACACTGCCCAACAAATCAGATAAAGTCAAACCATCCATAGTCATCAAGTTCATTAGCAGGAAATCAAGAAACAGGGTAATAATGCAAGCAAAAAAACTGAAGGGAACAAATGTTTACTTAAATGAACATCTAACTAAAAAAAAATGGAAACATTGCACGTGAAGCAAGGTGGTTGAAAAAACAGAAAAAATAGCATCAACTTGGACAAGAAATGGAAACATCTGGATCAAAATACAGGAAGGATCTCAGGCTAAAATAATAAAAGACCTGAAAGATCTGGAAAAACTAAAATGAGCTCAGGAGAGGACAGATGATAAATCATTGACATAACTTCACAAACAAGAAATTAACAAAATATAAAACAAACAAATACATTAAACATGGCAACATACGAAGACTTAGAGTTTAAAATATACAATGTTGAAGATGTGATTGATACAAATTTTTTCCTGCAATAAAAGACTGTGAATATTACAATGAAGAACAGTTTAATGACATCAATATAACTAATGGAGGTCTCTCTATTATTCACTTTAACAGTAGAAGTTTAAATGCAAATATATCCAAAATAACAGATTATTTAAAACAGCTAAACAGAACCTTTACAATAATAGCACTGTCAGAGACATGGCTCAACGATGAAAACACAACTAATGTTCACATGGAAGGGTATGAATTATATCATGTGAACAGAAGCAACAAAAGAGGTGGTGGAGTGGCTCTAGTTGTTAAAAATGAAATAAAATGTAAATTAATTAATGAAATGTCAATAATTGTTGATAATATCATGGAAATAATAACAATAGAAATAATAAACAAGAATAATAAAAACATATTAATAAGTTGTGTATATCGATCTCCAGGATCAAATATAGAAATATTCACTGATAAAATCGTACAACTATTGGACAAGAGTTTTAATAAAAGCATTTTTTTGTGTGGAGACTTTAATATTGACCTGGGAAATAAAACAGATTCAAATAACATCAGTACATTTACAAATTTATTGTGTAGTTTAAATCTTTATCCGTTAATATCAAAATCAACAAGAATTACAACTCATAGTGCTACAATAATCGATAATATTTTCACAAATATAACAAATGGGGATGTGATGGGAGGTATTTTAACGAGTGATTTGAGTGATCACTTACCAGTTTTCATGATTTATAAAAATGATCAAAGCATTACAAAAGAAATTACAATTAAGGAAAAAACAATAAACACATCAAAAAAAGCAATGGACAAATTAAAAGATGATTTACATAAACAAAGCTGGAAAGACGTGTATGTTGATGATGTGAATAGATCATATGATGAGTTTATGAATATTTTAGGAGCTCTGTATGAAAAGAATTGTGTGCAAAATAATTATACAAAGAGAAATGTTGTTGACCAACCATGGATGACGAAAGGGTTGAGAAATGCTTGTAAAAAAAAATAATTATTTGTATACATGTTTCTTAATAATAATAATAATAAACTTTATTTCTATAGCACCTTCCAACAACGCCTTGCATTGACCAAGGTGCTTCACAAGACAAAACAAGATTACAAACAGGACACAATAAATCAGTGCAAATTAAAAAACACAGCGAGAATAAAAGAAGGTAAAAGAGATCAAATAAATAAATAAATACTAAATACTAAACTACTAAAAGTTAAACATTAAAAGCCCTTTTAAATAAGTATGTTTTCAGTTTGGCTTTGAACAGAACCAGATCAGAGATGGCACGCAGCTCATAGGGAAGAGTATTCCAGACTGTTGGGCCTGCAACAGAAAAGGACCGGTCCCCCCATTGTTTGCACCTTGAGCAAGGCACCACCAGCAGATTTTGACCAGCAGACCGTAAAGCTCTGCTGGGCTGGTGGACTTTCAAAAGTTCTGAAATATAAGGTGGTGCAAGGCCATTCAAAGCTTTAAAAACAAACAGTAGCAGCTTGAACTGTATCCTAAACTGAACCGGGAGCCAGTGTAAAGAAGAAAGGACAGGAGTGATGTGTTCATATTTACGTGTGTTAGTCAACAGGCGAGCAGCAGAGTTTTGTACAAGCTGTAAACGGGAGATAGAAGATTGATTAATACCGACATATAAGGCGTTACAGTAATCAAGCCTAGAGCTCACAAAGGCATGGATGGCCTTCTCCAGATCACTACGGCTAAGGAGTGATTTTACTTTGGAAAGCAGACGGAGCTGAAAGAAGCTGGTTTTCACAACAGAACTGATCTGTTTATCTAACTTTAAGTTACATTCAAGCTCCACTCCTAGATGTTTTACCACCTGGTTGGCGTGGGGGAGCGGAAAACCTAGACTGGGAGAGATGTTGCATGAATTACTGGAAGCACCAAATAAAATCCATTCAGTTTTATCGTTATTGAGGTGGAGAAAATTCTGAGACAGCCAGTGCTTAATGTCGTTTAAGCAGCTGGCAATAGAGTTGAAACTGAGTGAGGAACTGGGAGTGACCGGCAGATAGATTTGTAGATCATCTGCATACAGATGAAAAGACAGATTATGGCGTGCAATGATGGGTCCTAATGGTAGCATGTAAAGTGAGAAGAGAACAGGCCCCAGAATGGATCCCTGCGGTACGCCAGAGGTCAAAGAGACAGAAGAAGAGGACAGATCACCAATCATAACAGAGAAAGTTCTGTCTGTTAAATAGGACTTAAACCACTCAAGCACAACACCCTGAAGGCCAACCTGCTGAGCCAAACGAGTGATCAGGACCTGATGGTCTACAGTATCAAAAGCTGCTGAGAGGTCCAACATCACCAGCAGAACAGGTTTTTTGGCATCAAGGGACAAAAGAATATCATTCTGTACTTTGAGTAGTGCAGATTCAGTGCTATGGCGGTGTCTGAAGCCAGATTGAAATTTTTCAAACAAGTTGTTGTGTTCTAAAAAAGATTGCAACTGAATGAAAACAACCTTTTCCAGAACTTTGGATAAAAATGATAAGTGTGAAATTGGCCTAAAATTAGAAAAAGCTGTAGGATCTATACCCGGTTTTTTAAGAAGAGGCCTGACCACAGCATGTTTGAAAACAGACGGGACATAACCTGAACTTAGACAGCTATTAATAAATGTCAGAAGACAAGGACCAATAACATCCAAGGACTGCTTGAACATCTTAGAGGGGATGATGTCCAGGGTACAGTTTGTAGGTTTCATCTGCTGAACCACCTTAACGAGGTGAGGTAGTGAGACCAGGTGGAACTGATCAAACACAGCAGAGGTTATTGAGGGAGCACATAACTGAACAGCATTATATGTACTGACAATGTTCTGCTTGATAGAGTCTATTTTGTTCACAAAGTAATCAAGAAAACCATCACAGGTAGACTGTGTAGCAGTTTTCAGAACATTGATGGAGGGATTAATGACAGACTGAATGGTATTAAATAAAACCCATGACCAGTTACAACTGGTAGAAATTAAATTGGAAAGATATTGTGATTTGGCCTGCTGAACAGCTTTTTGATCTTCATGAAGACAGTCTCTCAGTATGTCCTGGGACACATGAAGCCTGTCTTTCTTCCATCTGCGTTCTGCTTTCCTGCAGCGTTGTCTAAAAGTCCGAGTGGTACCATTGAGCCAGGGATCTGGTTTGATTTTTGTAGAAGTCTGTCTTAAAGGAGCGATGGAGTCCAAGATCTTTGTAGAAGTGTATTGAAAAGAGGTGATAAGTTCTTCTGGATGTAGAGATGCATTCAGACTTTCAGCAGAGTAGAAGTCAGTGCTTCTAAACGCAGCAGCAAACTGACCTGGAGTGGAGGGAGTGATGAAGCGGCAGCGACGTGCTGGAAGCATAGTTTTTACTGGGGGAGGAGTGGAAAATTCAAATATAATAGGAAAGTGGTCTGAAATACAAGTGTCCAAAATTTCTATAACAGATACACGAAGGCCGTGAGAGATGATTAAGTCCAAAGTGTGACCATGACTGTGTGTGGACCCTGACACAGATTGTGACAGGTTAAAAGAATCCAGAAGGCTTTGAAAGTCAGCAGTGAGTTGGTTACAGGGACAGCAAACATGAACGTTAAAATCACCACATAAAAGCAAACTGTCAAATTTTGGCAACAGTTCAGCCAACAGTTCTGAGAATTCATTAATGAAATCCTTATTATATTTTGGAGGGCGATATA